TACCATACCTGAAACCTTTCAAAAGCTTTTCATTGCACTTCGTAACATCATGTGACTACCATACCTGAAACCTTTCAAAAGCTTTTCATTGCACTTCGTATAAAATCCAAAACCTTACCCTACAAGGTGTGCCACAAATCACTCACCTTCTCAGTCCCTAAAGACACACTAGCTTACTTTTAGTTTCTCACAAATGCCATGTTCTTTCCCACTTCAGGGCCTTTCCAGTAGCTTTTCTCTCTGCCTGGAACACCCTTTCTGCTATTTCCATGGAGAGCTTTTTTTTTTTTTTATCCTTCAGATCTCAACTTAAACATTACTTCCTAGAAGAGGACTTGCTTGACCACCCAATTTAAAGCAGATCCTCTCTATTATTTCCTTTCCCAGCACCTTGTTTTCACTTTATAGCTCTTATCATAATTAACAGTTGTTTATTTTTTATCTGTCTTTCCTACTAAACAATAATCTACATGAAGACAGGGACCTCATTTGTATTCTTCACCATAATATCCTAAGTACCTAGTGTGGTGCCTGGCACATAGTAGACACTCAACAAATAGGTTATTGAATATGGCTATAAATACTTTTGAATTAAAAACAAGTCATTTATTACTGCCTATTCTGTGCCAGATATTTTACTAGGCTCTTTATACATATTTCTGATTGAATTCTTGCAATAATCCCATGAAGTAGGTATTATCCACATTATATAGTTGAGGAAACTGAAATTTGTTACCAGGGTTATAAGTTCATGCATATACAATCTGCACACAGGTCTTGTGCTCAGAAGGGCCCATTGGTATAATGCTCTGCTGTCGCTATCTTGGATTTAATATTTTTTGAACAAGGGGTCCTGTGTTTTCATTTTGTAGCATAGCCCATCAATTATGTAGTCAGTCCTGCTTATCGCATTAGATAATTTGTCCAAAGTTCAACAGCTAGTAAGTGATAGAGACTTACTTAAGATTAAGGTTTGTCTAAAGCCATATGCTTAAATACTATATTACATAGTTTTTCACTTTATGCAACTAGAAAAATAATCCAAGGAGTCAGTTATCAAGTTCAAACTTCTGTCAAGTGAATGTCTAAGTTAGCATTTCTCAAATAAGTGTTCCCTTGAACACGATTTTGCAAGGTATTAGTAAGAAAGCTGTGGAAAAGAAGTCCAGTGGTCAAATAAGTTAAAGGGAATACACCCTCTATCTCCTTTTAGAGTTTCTCAACGCATGTAGCATGTGAAAGGATCTGAAATGACCTATAGTAAAAAAAGAAAAAAAAAGGCTGTTTAACTTGGTTTAATCCAGCATTTTCTGGTCTAAAATGACTATATAACCCTTTCCCAAAAGCAAAGTTATTTTCTCCTGGACAATAGTGCTCTGTAGAACTGCTTTGGGGAATGCTGATCTAGATAACTGTTAGCAAATTTCTTCTGTAAAATTCCGTAAATAGTTTAGGCTTTTGGGTCTCTGTTTCAGCTACTCAATTCTGCCGTCTTAGCTAGAAGGTAGCCATAGATAATATGTAAATGAATGGGCATGGATGGTTCTACTAAAACTTTATTTATAAAAATAGGCCCCTGGCTTGATTTGGCCCACTATCGTAATGGCCTCAATTTAGATCACTCCAGAATTGGATAGGTCTATTCTAGCCTGTGCATCTAAAATTCTGTACATCTGGTGCTTGACCACCATCAGAGGTCCTCCTGGTATTCCATTACCTATTCTATCTGATATAAAATTCCTATTTGTTATAACAGTTTGGAGCTTCATAGATACTACCAAAAAAAAAAAAAAAAAGGCTGCTGCCCAATGAATACAGGGCAAGAATAGGAGTGGAATAGGGATGAGAAGCCAGGTTCATAGGAGGCACTTTTCACAAAACAAAAAGAGTAAAAGAGAGAAGACATCTACCTATGAGCTCCTTCCATGACAATGAAGCCTGAGAATTTGAAGCAGCTGTGGGAGGAAAGAGTTGAGATTAACAGAAGCACAAATACACCTTCACATCAAAACATGAAATATACAAAAATTTACCCACACTGCTACAGCCATTCATGCTGTTCCCCAGACAGAAATACAAGGAAGAAAGTCATCTCACATCTATTCTGACTCACCCACAAAGTTATAACTAATGTCCAATGTAAAGTAAAATGTAAGACCTTCTCAGATATATATTGAGGGTATAAACATTTACATTTATATGCTCTGTAAGAAAAATTTTAGGCATTAACTTAAAGGCTCATACATTATCTGAAGTGACTGTTTTAGGTATTTTGCTTTCCATTGAACATTAGCCTATTGCCTCTGTTGGAGCTTCTGTTGAACTTAACTTGTTAATGAGAAAGAATAAGGCATTGCTGATGTTAGTGTGATGGATACATACAATGATCTACAATTTGAACACATATACACATACGTTCATTCCAAACACTTACATATATAGGTTTATAGGTAGAAATACACAAATGAAGGCACATGTGAATGTGTTCACATGCACACGCACATACACATACACACACAGCCTCCACATTCCTATAGGTTTTTAGTACTTGCACACCTTTTAAAAGCAAGAGTGAGACTTATACTTGGGAGAAGGTATGACTAGATGGATGGGAGGAAGCAGAGTCTGGAGAGGCAGATATTAGAATGTCACAGAAATGGGCAGGCAAGTGAGTAGTCTGTTGAAGATAATCAGTTTCTATTCCCCATAACTAAATATTCCTTGGAGCTCAGGAATCACCCACAAGGGGAAGAACTCCAGCAATCTTCACTCTTTTCTCTTTTGTGCTGTCTCCTGTGAAAATCTGTGGTTACAGTAAAGGGAGAGACTTAAGAGTCTTTTAGGATTATAAATGCTTTTGGAATCATGGAAAACAGTAGAAACCACAGTTGCCTCTTCTCTTTTCTTTCTTTTTCCTCATTTTGGAAAACATAAAAAATATGGAGACATTTTAAAGAGATTATTAATAGGCAAATACTGTATCCATGTAATATTTCAATATACACACACCTATACATGGGCAACACAACGTTAAAGATTCGGAAAAAAAATCCCAAAATCCATGAGGAGACGTAGGAGAAAGAGAATGAACAGGATTACCTAGATTGTACCCTCTTCTTACCTCATTCAGTTACTCACCTTTCTGTTCAGACAATAAACTCCAAGTACAAGCAGGTTCCATATCTTTTCTTTTCTTTTGACTGTTCATCCTGGCAAATCAAGAAGACTGTAATCCAAAACAGAAATGATGACTGAAAGGCCTAGTGGAAGCCCAGAGTAAAAAGGAACTCAAGGAACACTACTCAAGGCATTACAG